CCGCTATGCAGCCTATAGACAATTTACTTTGTGGTGCCATTGGAGGCCAGTTACTGGAATCCGCCGTGTTGTCCAGAGTTGTTGTACATGGTACATTAGTGATAAATTCAAATACTTTCAGACAATGCATGTTTGTGGCTGGAAGGCTTGGATGAATTGTTTGTTTTTTTTGCTTGTAATATACATGTTAACTACAGTGAACAAAAATACCATTTTTTTTCCTAAACGTTATGACAATGAGTAGAAAAGTTTGTGTTCATGAGAGAATTATAACTTTGTATTTAATTTTACCTGAGAAACTGGCAGCTTTAGTCATCAAATACAGATGGGATACGGAACAGTCACGTGAGTTAACTCCCTAGATAGCCAGGTAAATATTTGCATGATTTTTGCAAACACTGATCAGTACAATGTAAGCATTGAAACGCCATATCACCGAGATGAAATCAATGATTGGACCTAGGATGAAGAAGACCTGGTCAATTCATAATTGGATGCTACATGGTAAGGGTTCAGAATAATGTGATTTTGATGATCATTTCCTTGAAAAAGTCTTACGATCTTGGCCAATAGAGGAAACATTTAAAAGTGTCACTACAAATCATAAAAGACTGAAAATGTGGAAAACCTCTAGATACCCAAAGCTACGAGCAATTGTGGAGACAACTATCAGTTTACAAAATCGTTTTATTTTGCAATGCAGCCCTCACAATTATCTATTGTTAAGCTTTAGTTAAGAGTACTTAAGCTGGTGAAACATTTAAAGTAAAAAAATGTTTCAACAAAGTTCAAGCAGTAAACTTGCGACGCGAACAAAATTCTAGCTCAAGCAGAAGTCAGTTCAAATGACGCACGAAAAGAAAGAATTTATGGGACTTACTGTCATCAAAGCGCTCACTGTGCACAAACCATTCAACGGAATTCTTTGGTGACAATATTACAATTTATTGAAGTATTCCAAAACGAAGTTAACTACATTATGCCATACACAAGAAAAATTTTTGTGTTTAAGAGGGGAGGGCCGCAAAACCGCAAGACTTACAACCAAATATTTCCCTCACCGATCGTTTAATAACCAGGGCAGCTACAATCCATTTCGAAACCATTGATTAATGAAAAAGGACAGACATAAGAAAATCATAAATGTTAGAAGAATTATTCTAACACTAGAAGTTTGGTTTTATGTCACAACATCATAGAAGAGGTTATATGGCGACTTTCAACACTTAATACTTAACACTTTTCCACACGCAAACTGGATACTTTTCGAAACAAAAGTCTTTGATGGGCTTCGAACCCACAATGGTGAGGGGTGAATGGTTTGAAGTTAACGGTGCTTTGAAACAATGTAATGAAGAACACAAAGACCATTTTATAAATTATTTGCCAAATACGTTGTTTTCGGAACGATTTCAAAACTTTTCTTGGATCTATGATTTAAATTGCACATTTTTGTCAAGTTGTAAAACATATGCCATTTAAATGAAATTAATAACGTGGTACATGTATATCAAAAACAATTTAATTAAACGAACACTTCAAATAATATGGTCTTTATATCATTTTTAAACAACACAACATGTACATGTATAATATTCTATTTAAATTCATATACTGCAACAATGCACGTTGACAAGCCATTAAGCATAACTAAACTAAATCAACATTTACCTAACATTTTAACTAGATTTGGATATCGCACTTACACTTTCCAAAATATCAAGAACAGTTCTAGCTTCATTTGAAGAGTATACTCCAGCATTTTCAAACCAAGATCGGAGTGCAACAGGGTTAACCACTTTGTCATAGACTTGTGTGGCAACAGCTACAACATCTGCATTTGAATAAAATTTCTGTTTCTTATTAACTAGTTTTTTATACTCAACTTCATAGCCTGATACTACAGCTTCAAAAACCCCTGCTTTTCTTGTTTTAACAATGCAAGACTCTTGCGGTGGCAAAACAAACAAAACAATATTTTGTTCTTTTGCCCATTCAATTAGATCAACTGATAAATGACTCTTATGTCCGTCGTACAACACGATTATGGTTTCATTTTCCTTCATCTGAACATGATTAAAAAAATGATCACTTAGATAATTTCTAAATCCCTTTGTCACTAGCTGAGATTTCCTTATAAATGTACTGTCCTCCTCCTCATCAAAACCTTCAACCATGACAAAATAAGGCGGAATTTTCTCTCCCGCTGCGTTCCCTGCTCCTATAATGGTCAAAATGTTACGTTGTTCATTTATTTCGAACTCAAGATCTATTTCTTCTATAATAAATATACGTTGAGGAGTACCATGGTACTCAAATAAGATACAATTTAATTGTTCATAATAATTTGAGATTTTCTCTTCGCTGGTGCATAAATCTTTTCTATTTTGCAAAAGAAAAGGAACCACAAGTTCTGATTCAGGATGGCGTCTACGGTAGTGAATATACCAACTTTTGGAAAAAGGTTTATCTGCCGCCTTTTTACCTAGAGATATAGCATAATCAGATGCATGTCGAGTAAAATCAACTTGCGTATATCCATAGCCAACGTAAGCTAAATTATTTAGATGACTAGAAAGTTTGCGCTCCTCTTCTAAAGTGAGAATTGGCTCCGGTCCCGGTTTAGTAACATCCAAATCTACTTTATGTTTCACTCTATCAAAAAGTGTAGTTCTCGGTATGTTAAACATCTTTGCAGCCTTGCGTATGGACATGCCACTATCTTTTACCATGTTGTATGCATCAACTATTTTAGATTTTTCGTATTTGCCCCTAAATTGACGTTTTCTTCTCCTGATCTATAATTAAATTAAAATAGAATGTTGTTATTTTGTCTGTAGAAGATTGGCAATAAAAAAGATAATACATTTTAATAGACCAAACTTACTCCAAACAAACATAATAAACAATTTAAAAAAATATATTCATTTACGAGTTATGAAAAAGGGGAGATCTTGAAAAACAATGGCAAAAACCCACGAAAAATGGTTACTCCATTATATACACAAACAATAAAGTATAGAGTGAATAACTTTTATAAGCAAGTTAATTTGGACAAGACATTTGTTCAAGTGATGTACGTCAAGAATGACTTTATTGAACTAAAATGACACAAAGACACAAAATTAAACCATTCCATGCAATACAGCTTTCATGGTAATGGGTATAGTCTTTTTCAAAATTATTGATAATACTGTGGCATTTTGTAAATTATAGTCAATTTTTACAAGTATGTTACTATGAACTAAAGAAATACTATGCTCAACCTTGTGTCAAATATTTTAGTCTCAGAAATTCATTGTAATTTCTAAAATTCTTGCTGAATATGTGTAATTTGAATAAAAGAATGAATAAACTATGTTTGGGAAGCTGCACTCCCTGTAACAGTTCCAAGTAAAGTTGCTCTTTTACCCCATAAGCATATTGTGAAAAATAGCCGTTTTCATTGAAAAGCCTCCTGTAACAAGTTCAAACTGCTATGAAACTATGAAAAATGATTCAATACTGATAAAACTTGGCACAAATGTTGACTGGACCATAGCCTCTGTAACAGCATTCTTAATCGTAAATTTTCTGTTAACATGACAATGGGGGACGTCTCAAAATTGCAAAAATCACTATTTTGCATTGTTTTTTTCCCCATCAAAACTGATTTCAAAGTGCTGCAACTTCTCAATGAATTAAAATAGAGTAAAAGTCTTTTCAGAGTCGGTTACTAGTTACCCTAAAATCGACCTGAGGCCATTTTTAGCCTGTCATATGTCCAAAATTTTCTTGGTGGATTTTCTACCGCCCCCTTCAAACCCAATGCCCCCTTCTGGCAACCCCCTGATGTACCATTTTGATGGGGGCCGCACCTAAAAACTGGTCACTTTTTTAACATTTCTCAAATGAAAAACTGTTTGTGGCATAAAAAGGGCATTTTTTCACTGTTTGAGACCGTCAAAACACATCTATATGAGGGAAATGATTAAAAAAAACTGCCAGTTATTTAACGGAATTCGTATAATGACCACCTACAGACCTATAGTCTGTAGTATTTTATACACACCTTTGTGTGAATATTTAGAAAGAGACTGTATAATAGCAATTATCAATATTTCGCTAATCTCAATTTTGACAGTAGTATATCTTTAAAATTTAGTGTGGCAAGCAAATTAATGCTCAATGTTACAAATCCAAACAAGAATGAATACAATTTAAATTTAAACACCAATTAATTTGGAAATGTAAATCATGAGATTTTCAAAAATAAATCTTAGATCTTATAACATATTTCATATCAAAATCTCATTTCAAAGAGCTTAAAAGCTCAAAAGAAAATAGTTACTTATATTCATTTGGAAAACTATTTGAAAACAATTCGCCACTTGGAACCATGAATCACAAATGGTAGATCTTTTAAAGAGGAAGTAACCTTGCTGTGTTCTTCCATACAAAGATATGACTGGAAACAGAAATGTGTTACATAAATTTTTCTTTTTTAAAATACCAAACCTGGGGACTTTGATCATTACCTTTTCAATACCTAATCAATAACTTTTATTTTATGTGATTCATTTCCTTATTGAAACAATGAGTTTGTTCCAAGTTTAATAAGTTTATCACATTTGTTTTGAGATCAAATATTAGTTATATCAGGTAATTATAAAACACATACAATGTCACTAGTGGCTTGGGTAATATAAACCTACAACTGTTTATAAACAGCAATAAAACTGCTCTTAATAACAAATTCAACAAGAGCTGTCTCCAATTTTCTCATTACTTGATTGTATGATGATAAGATTTTTTAAACTGAACACCATTCTAAATCAAAGCGCTGAAAGCACTGATGTATTCGCTGCGCATTATAAATGCATATGTGTCTTACTAAAAACGTTGCAATTGTAAAGAATAAAGGAATATGGGCCACTGAATTACAGATTATTAATCTGATAGAGACATTAACACTGGTTGTTGAATATTACATTGAAAGAGGGAAAGAAGTAAGAATAAACTAAATGAGAACAACTTTATTACATTATCTAAGTGGTACAATAAAATATACATCCAAAATATGAATGCATGCAGTACATTCATGACTAGATCCTTAACATGATGAGAGAATTATGTTATAATGAATATATATACAGTAACAATACCTAGAATACTATATTGCTACATAAGCTTCAAATGTAATGACAGACAGATTACCTAGCTAAAGCATTTCAGTTTTTCACATGATGAAAAGTGAAACTTGGAACATGTTAATTTCATGAAATTTAAGAAGAAAATATAGGTATTTTTGTAAAATACTTTAATTTAAAAAATTTCCGAGATTAAAAAAATACAAAAAAAGTACTTTTAATAGTTTGCCTATTATATTTTTAATTAGCCTGTAACAGTCAAAACTTTTTTTTAAAATTCTGTTATTTACTTTTTTGCAAAGAAACATTACAAATGGAATGGGAGCATGAGGAAATGGCTTTAATAATGCAAAACAAGCAAAATGGGACAATAAGAGAAAAGGATGGTTGTAATATCTAATCTTTTTTTACCTACTGTGACCTTATCATGCAAAAGACCAAATTAATTTAAAGCGTTCTTGCACACAGTAAATGAGAATTTTTGACGTTTTCAAACTGAGTAGTTTAATATGACATTATTGAAATATGGATGACGGACAGACCAGGAATCTTTGACTGTCTGTAATAGCTGAGCTTTTGCTAATGTGAGCTAAAAAAATGAGAATACTGATGTCAAGGATGATTCAATAATATCCATATTTAAGAAAACACAGCTTTAAAACCAATTGCAATATTGATAAACCAGAGCCCGGTTTGAGCCGGGTGATGCTCCCCGAATAGGTTTTGGACACAGGAAAGTACACCTCTTGTAGTTTCAGAGTTATGTTCCTGGAAAAAGTTCAAAGTGCAATAATTCCAAAATTAGGAAAGGCGGAGTTATTGTTCTTTGCACTGCACTTCTAATCACTGTTATCTATCAACTTACAAAGTTTCTTGTTGATATCTCTTATGGTTTCCAAGTTATGTTCCGCACAACTTCAAAAAGTAAAAATAAACAAAGAGCAGTAACTCCAGAATTAGGCAAGGCAAAGTTATGATTCTCGTGCACTGCATTGAGATACATCTACCTACAAAGTTTCATGTTAATATCTCTTATAGTTTTACAGCTATGTCCAGTACAAGATTTTTCTAAAAGGGGAGATAATTCAAAAATGAGGCTTAACAGAGTTATGTTTTTTTTGCACTGCACTTCTACTCAATGAGATCTATCTACCTACAATGTTTCATCTTGATATCTCTTATATTTTTAGAGTTATGTTCCGGACAAAGTTCAGTGTTAAAATTAACAAAGGGCAATAACTCCAAAATAAGGACAAAAAGAGTTATTGTTCTTATGCACTGCACATCTACCCATTGAGATCTATTCACCAACAAAGTTTCATGTTGATATCTCTAATAGTTTTCGAGTTATGCCCCAGACAAGATTTTTCTATAAGGGGAGATAATTCAATAATGAGGCTTAACAGAGTTATGGTTCTTTTGCACTGCACTTCTACTTAATGAGATCTATCTACCTACAATGTTTCATCTTGATATCTCTTATAGTTTTAGAGTTATGTTCCGGACAAAGTTCAAAGTGTTGAAATTAACAAAGGGCAATAACTCCAAAATTAGGACAAAAAGAGTTATTGTTCTTATGCACTGCACATCTACCAATTGAGATCTATTCACCTACAAAGTTTCATGTTGATATCTCTTATAGTTTTAGAGTTATGCCCCGGACAAGATTTTTCTATAAGGGGAGATAATTCAAAAACCGGGCAAAATAGAGTTATGGTTCTTTGACACTGCACTCCCCCTCAATGCCCTCTACCACTGTATGAAGTTTAAACAAATTATCTCCAAGGGTTTTCAAGTTATGCTCCTGACAAGAAAACGGACAGACGGACAGACAGACAAGGCGCCGACTATATGCTCCCCCGAAATTTTTCGGGGAGCATAAAAAGTAAACAATGTATATTATCTATGCCCCTGGTTAAAACATGATAAAAATATCCCCAGAACCTTTTTACTCACAATAATAATACATGTAATTATAACAGCATTAATAAGTACATCGCCTTATCTAATAGTCTGAATCTTACACAATTTAATGTTGCATGACAAACATTCTATTATAAAGCTTTCAATATTTCAGTTACTTCATACATAATCATGTACTTTTCTAATTAAAGCATATATACAGAACTTGCTAACATGAAAAACAAATTTGGTCACGATAAGTTTATCTCATGTATAAAATTGCAACTTGCTTGCAATTTAAGTAATTTTATTTCAAGATTCTTATGCTAGAAAGTATGGTGATTGCTCAATTTTAAGTCATTTGTTAAAAACATTTTCATAAATCGGAAACACACTCAATAAATGGCTTGGTACTTCATATCAATTGTGAAATTTCTTTTATTAAGAATATTACTTACTGATAAATGTTCACAAAATTGCAAATACAATGTAAATCTAAAAACAATGCTACAGGGTATAATCAAGTTATATAATGATTAAGACAATGGATTGAAATGATAGAAAAACAAGCAAATGTAAAATGAACATCAAAAATTATATACATGTAACACTATTGACCATAAGAAACAGTTAAGTCAAACAAATGTAATAGTTATTATGCATTTAAATTTGGGGTGTAGTTTCATGTTTCTTTGGAAATTGAAGTCAAAATAGTTCTCAGAAATCAAATATTTCTCTGACAAAGATAGAAATGTTATGAGCATGTAAAGCTCCCACAAACTTTCTGATATAACTCTAGTGCAATCACTGTTTGTTTTTACTTTGACTAGAATCAAAAATGATACCTTTGTTTACAGTTTGTGTCCACAATGATAATAGCATATAAATAAATATTATCTTGTCACTTGTGCCTGGTTATATAAAAAAAGACAATTTCTAATAAAGGAATGTACAAGTTTGTTTTGTGTATGTTAAGAACAACTTAAGCATGTAAATAAAAAGTACTGGGAACATGGTATTTTAAAGGTATTATAAGTAGATTTCAACAATAATAAATGAATGATTTCAAAATTAAAAAAAAAAAACAAAAAAAAAACAAAAACAAGAGGGCCATGATGGCCCTGAAGTCGCTCACCTGTATATAGGTCCCTGAAGCGGGGCCAGTTTAAACCCCAGGGCTTTTATTTGAACAAACTTGGTAGACTGGTAGACACCCATTAGAAGATGTTTCATGCTAAACATCTAAGGTCTAGCTGGTCAAGTTATTTCTTTACACATTTAGTTAAAAACAGTGACACACCTGGGGCGGGGCCAATTTTGACCCCAGGGCTTTTATTTGAACAATCTTTGTAGACACTTACTAGAAGATGCTTCGTGCTTAATATTTAAACTCTAGCTATTTGAGTTTCTTCAAAGAAGATTTTTTAAGTTTTTGTTATACACAAATAAGGAAAATGAATGTCCCCCGGGGCGGGGCCAATTTTGACCCCAGGGCTTTTTTTTTTTTAACAAACTTGGTAGAGACTCACTAGAAGATGTTTCATGCTTAGTATCTAAACTCTAGCTATTTGTTTTTTTTCAAAGAAGATTTTTTAAGTTTTTGCTATAGTATAATACACATATAAGAGAAATCAATGACCCTTGGGGCGGGGCCAATTTTGACCCCAGGGCTTTAATTTGAACAAACTTGGTAGACACTCACTAGAAGATGTTTCATGCTTAATATCTAAGCTCTAGCTCTATGGGTTCTTTAAAAGAAGATTTTATTAAGTTTTTACTATATGCATATAGGGAAAATCAATGACCCCCTGGGGCGGGGCCAATTTTGACCCTAGGGCTTTTATTTGAACAAACTTGGTAGACACCCATTAGAAGATGTTTCATGCTAAATATCTTAGCTCTAGCTCTTTGGGTTCTTTAAAAGAAGATTTTATAAGTTTTTACTATATGCATATAGGGAAAATCAATGACCCCCTGGGGCGGGGCCAATTTTGACCCAAGGGCTTTTATTTGAACAAACTTGGTAGACACTCACTAGAAGATGTTTCATGCCAAATATCTAAGCTCTAGCTCTTAGGGTTGTTTAAAAGAAGATATTTAAAGATTTTTCTTTCAGTTGCCATGGCAACCAGAGTTCTGCATGGAATTAAATTCTTTGAACATTTTTTAAAGGTGACCACCAAAGGAACATTCCTGTGAAGTTTGGATGAAATTGGCTCAGTGGTTTATGAGGAGATGTCATTTAAAGAAAAATTTTACGGACGGACGATGGACGGACGCCGGACGAAAAGCGATCACAAAAGCTCACCCTGTCACTTTGTGACAGGTGAGCTAAAAAGTCATAGTAAAAAATAATATTTTTCAAGTAAAAAAAATCTAAGTTCATGGGGAGGTAATTCTTGCAATATTGGTGCTAGCGTTAACAACCTTGTCACATAACATTTGGTTAATGATAAGGAACATATATTTGAAATATGAAGTTGATCCCTTAAGAAATAAATAAGTAACAGTAAATAATAGCTGTCGGTAGGACAGCAACGCTCTACCATTCTAAGTGCTTGATAGAAAAAGAGCCTTGATAATGTAAAATGTTAACAAAAGGGCCAAATTTTCCTTTAAATCCATGTTACTGTTATAGGGCCAAATTTTCCTTTCAATCCATGTTACTGTTATAGGCCTTGAAGAGAGTCCTATTATGCTCTCAAAGAAGAGTATAAAATTTCAACTTGTTCCTAGCCAGATGTCAACAGTATATGAAAATATCTGAGGTGGTATGCAAACTTTAATTAAATAACATATAATCTAAGTCAGAAAAGGGGCATAATTCTGTCAAAATGCTTGATCCAGTTATCTCCTCCTGTCTACAGGTTGGGTCATGATGGTGAACAAGTGTGCAAAGTTTCAAAGCCATATATCAATGGACTTTGATATTTGAGATATTACAAAAACTTTAACATAAGTTATTACACCTACGCTGACACAGATGCCGACACCAACACTGACGCACTGGTGACTACAATTGAATAGCTCTACTTATTCTTATTGAATAGTCGAGCTAAAAATAACTCTTTTTAGGAAAATTCTATCTTCAAGAGGAGATAAATTTGAAAATATTGGTGCTAGAGTAATGAACCTTGTCACATAAGATGTGGTTGATGATAAGGAACATATATTTGAAGTATGAAGTTGATCCCTTAAGAAATAAGGAAGTAACGATAGAAAATAATATTTTTTAAGGAAAATTCTAAGTTCAAGGGGAGATAAATCTGAAAATAGTGGTGCTAGAGTTATGAACCTTGTCACATAAGATGTGGTTGATGATATGGAAAACCAAAACTTTAATCTGAATAAGGACGCGGACGCCGGGGCAAGTAGGACGGCTCTCCATATACTTTGTATAGTCTAGCTAAAAATGAAAAGTAAGAAAGTGTTTTATGCAGTAAACATAAATATAAAAGTGATATGGAACTTTTTGTACTAAGAAGCGAGGAATGATATTTTATCTTTTCTTGCATTCTAAATCTATAGTAAATGATATTATTACCGTACCTTTCTTGCCTATTAAATGTATGGTATTGTACCTAACAATATTGCTTTAGCAATGATGTTCCAGGGTTTTCACGTGTTGGTTTACACAAAATATCCATACATATATCTAATTTCTATTATAATACATATATACATTAAACTTTTTACAACATTACCATTAGACAGGATTAATTTTGACCCCAGTGACACTACTGAAGTTTTCCAGATTGTATGTAAATGATAAGCAGACTGGAAATCTATACACCTGACAATCTATTTTCCTTTCTTCGAATTTTTCCATGAATATGTGACCATAAGGCTTGGAAATTTTTTAACAACATAGCAATATTCTGTTTCTCTGCTTAACTTCAGCTAGAAACTTTTTAAAAGGAAGTTTTTCACATATTTCCAATACAATTTAGGTGAAACATGTAGGTCCATTGGCATTCAGGGCTTCCATTAAGATCCAAAATTTGGAAGTCAAAGACTGCAAATGTCTTGACATTGGAAGTCACAAAATATTGGTAAAGAAGAAAAAAGCATTACATTTTGGAAGTCACAATGAATATGTGACCATAAGGCTTGGATTTTTTTTAAAAACATAGCAATATTCTGAGGTATCCAATGCATTTCTCTGCTTAACTTCAGCTAGAAACTTTTTAAAAGGAAGTTTTTCACATATTTCCAATACAATTTAGGTGAAACATGTAGGTCCATTGGCATTCAGGGCTTCCATTAAGATCCAAAATTTGGAAGTCAAAGACTGCAAAATGTCTTGACATTGGAAGTCACAAAATATTGGTAAAGAAGAAAAAAGCATTACATTTTGGAAGTCACAAGCCAAATTCAAGGAGTGAAATGACTCCCAAACTTCCATTAATGGAAGCCCTGCCATAACTATGAAAATGGTAGCCTGATGTTCATTTACAAAAAGTGTTTATACCTTGATCATTCAAACAAAAAGTTTCTCCAAAAATTGCGTATTTCTCTTCTAAACAAACAACTTTGCACATTTCAACATCTTACAGTTCACATATATTCGTCTTACATGTCCACAGATATATATACAATGGATAGGAAGCTCAGAAAATAGTTGAAAGTCAGATTCAGATCCACAGTGCGCTTCCGTGATAATCGGGTTTTCCCACTAGTCCCCGATTCTCGCACTCTCGTTAAACTTTGGCGATATCCATGAACTACTGTTTACATTGCCGACGTTGTTTTTTTTAAAAAAATATCTGTGTAGAAAAGTGTGTATGATACGTTTTAACATAAATTACTATTGCTTCTTATGTAAGTAGAAAATGCTTCGTCTTTTTTTGTCAATGTTCCTCTTGGAATTCAATATGGCGGTATTTTGGCTACTATTACCCAGGATGCATCAAATCTTGGAAAATCCCGAAACACATGATAACTTGCGTTAGAACAACCCCAATAATACTGAATTTAACTGTATGACGTCTAAGTTACTTCTCCATCTATATTAAGCTCCATGACATGTCCAATCAATCAGTAAATCAATAAGTTGATTGATCATTAAAACATTCAATCAACAATCATCAATCAGAGAATGAATCATAGAGTCAATGAAATCGAGGAAACCAACACTCTGAAATTAAACAAATTACATCAACATAAAAATAAAGTTAAATCAATTTCCTATGTCTGAAATGCATAATTATCATTTAAATAAAAACTCAAAATTTATGGTCAATTACAATAAACCCATTAACACTTTCTATATGATCTACGTAAATAACCGAGGTATATCGAGTGAAAAAATACGAGTTGCTTCCCTTATCTTCGAGTAAAATTGATATCTCTTATGCTTAAACAAAACCGTTAGTTTGTTCTGATTAAATGTCCAATTTTAAAATGTATTACACCAATAGCAAACGTTGGATCTTAGCTTCGTCACAGTATTTTGACTCCACAAAGTATTCAAATGAACAGTGAAACCTACCACATGTCAGACCATTTTACATACGATTTATATAGTGAGAAAACAACAGGTTATCTTTGTTCCTAAAACTACTGATAAGAAAAGCCTCTCGTCTGCTAGTTCTGAAAGTGTTTATCGGTGTATTAAATATTTACAACACATTGAACAGCTTACTTAACCTGTAGGTATATTAACATATAATATAGCTATATGCTTTCTATTGGCCGCCACAATCATAAGTTCATTTAATGAAGTTATTATAAAATACATCATAATCATAAATAAATTCTAAACTCACCAGTTCGTGGAATTGAATGTACCAATAATAGCATTATCTTCTTCAGACACGCATACTGTCAAACTCTCTCTCTGCTGTAACTTCTGCAAAATATAATAAACACAATATGCAAAGTGATATGAATAAAATGTGAGATTAAGTAAACAGAGAGCTAAATTAACGGATTTTTCTGAAAACAATATTCAAAGGTTCCAAATCACGAAAACTGATGACATTTCAAATCAGACCACACTCATTGCTTAATTAAAAAATCATCTATGACATACACTCTATAAAACACTAATTTAAACCAAATGCAACTCAAAATAATACTGACCAACTATCAATAATCCATATTTCCAATAAATTAAGAACACTTTGAACTTTTTACAAACAAAGCCGCTTAAACATAGACAAAACTAGTGATATTGCGGGAAACCAAGGGAAACAACTCAAACAACAAAAAATATATCAAGACACCTGAATTATCAACACTGTTACACATCATGAAATCCAAATAAGAATTCCAAAACAGATTACATTAAGTTCAAATAATATTGGTAAGTTTTCTGTACCTACTTTTAGAAAATGATGAGATCAGCTTTCACATACAAAAATAGCGTCGAAAACTTTGTTTTGGTACGAACTACTTCCTTACTCAAAGTTAACGCGAATGAATACTAATGATATTTTTTACTGATTATATCCTGAAAACATGCAAATAATATACGATAGAAATAACACAATCAAAAATGAACTACTGACAATTCAAAATCTTATCACTTGTGTGTGACAAGAAAATCTGTGTAGAACTACTTTGCGTTGTTAGGTACCCATTCTTATATTGAAATCCCGCAAATTGTGATAGAACTGTATTCACTGCTAACGCAGCGAATACAAAAACTGCTTTAATTTCAATGTTATATGCTATACATTACAGATAATGACCATATACCAAAACTGAACCAAAAAGGTAATTTAAAACCAAAGAATTGACGAGTGGGTTACGTTAATATCTTCGACATTTTCCTTTAAAAAATAGAGAGAGAGGATCTTAAAACAGAAGCAAATTCTTAAATTGAAATAAGAATTTTGCGACTATAAAAGTTGAGGCAGCTGTCATGTCATATAAATGATTGTCCAATGAAAAACAATAATACACAATTGGTTTAAAATGTTTATAAAGAGTGTTTAATTGACAATAATTTAGCAGCTCCTGGCCATGCCGATTTATGATTCTTATTTTAACATCCAGTATTAGGAACTGAGTGTCATTCAAACACAACAGACCTTGACTTTCTGACAATAATTCTGAAATTGTGAGGCATCGTGAAATAATCATAGTCTCATATCATGACATTGTGTAAAAGTAATTCAATAAAAACAAAAATAAATCCACCCTTTTAAAGTATTTATTAATTTACTAACAAAGGTTACTCATAACTAAAACATGATTCAAACATAGTAATTGAAAAGTATTACATCTATAAACAATACTGATCATGTTTTTATTCTAAAAAAATTATAACAACTTAACAAAATACCTTTTAGTGATCATATTTTACATATAAATCGAGATCACAATTAAATCAGTTAGGCATACCTTGCAAAGGAAATTATAAAGATAAATATGAAAAGGATTAAACAAAAATGCATTAAGATTTGTTGTTATTTTAATTAAAATATATGAAGTGCTCAAAATAGATCTATTTAATGTCGAGTTAACAAATAAATATATATCTTCAGATTGTCTAAGACTTTTCCTATGCTCCAAAATACATATTATGTGATAAATAATGTATACTAATCTGCACTTTACCTCTAACATAGAAAAGATCTAGCTATCAAAAGTTCATAATATAAGTATACGAGCTTCAACAATAGATAAAAGCACGTGGCAGAAGAGAGGAGGATGTAGTAGGTAGCAACTGAGTTCATAGATCCATTCAGAATGTGAAAAACAGTTTAGTCATACTAAATTCAAACAAAAGAACATGCTTAGTCAGATGCAAAAAACAAAGACTCATTTCTTAAATTCTTAATAGTAAAATTTAAATTAAAAATGTTTTATCATTTAAAGGCAAGAGGCTTACACTGTGCCATCATGTTTATTACAAAAATTTGAAAGCATGTACGTTACTGACAGCCTTTTATATGTAAAACAAAAAGAAAACATTCAAATATGGAAATAAAAATAAATATTGATTTCAATCAGGATACAAATTCAAACATGACTATCTGCTAAAATATAAATGTTTACACGTGTGTTACTTTTGAAGCTGCTTGCCTCTAGATGAGAGAAAATAACCATATTCCTAATCATCCAGTAAGGGTTATTTTGCTTATCTTGACCTCCTTCAGGTATACATCAATTGTAAATGCTGTTTGCATTTTCTTTTCTTTTTTCACTTCACAATTTCTACTTTAATATTCCATTGACGAAAATGACCATGACTCTGGAGGCATGATGCTTACAAAAAAAATTCATATTTTGCAAATCTCAAAAACAAAAGTTAAGAAAATAAATTCCATAACAATAAAAACTCTTGAAGTTTGAAAAAAAAACACCAAAAAACCTTAAAACAATTAAAATTATGGATTGAATTACATGTATCTTTTGCAAATTGCAAAACAAAATTAAAGAAAATAAATTCTATAACGAACAACTTTTGAACTTTGAAACACTTTTGTAACAATTAAACTGTTAAATGATTGAACACATTCAGAAGAAAGACTAAATAATGATTCCTCAACTTGATTATTTAAATGCCTATATATATATCCTTACACCCTTGTAATTGAAGAGGAGCTTAACCCGTGTTGCTAAAATATTTGACTGGCTCTGTTGTTAGAATATTTAACTGGTTCTGTTGTTAAAATATTTGACTGGTTCTGTTGTTAAAATATTTGACTGGTTCTGTTGTTAGAATATTTGACTGGTTCTGTTGTTAGAATATTTGACTGGTTCTGTTGTTAAAATATTTGACTGGTTATGTTGTTAAAATATTTGACTGGTTCTGTTGTTAGAATATTTGACTGGTTCTGTTGTTAAAATATTTGACTGGTTCTGTTGTTAAAATATTTGACTGGTTCTGTTGTTAAAATATTTGACTGGTTCTGTTGTTAAAATATTTGACTGGTTCTGGTGTTAAAATATATGACAAGTATTAACATTTAGCAACTTCATTTTGCAACTTTCAAACACCTTTAAATTTCATTGAAGAATTTCTAAAAACTATATTGAAACACATTATTACACATGAACTAACATTACATCTTTATCTATAACATAAAATGCAGTTTCAGTACAACTATATAATATACAGCTACAATAAAGATTCACATGAGCAAAGAAATTGACCATAACTCATTGAATATTTTGCTAGTAGCTACAATTTTTATTGGCTTAAGATTTCACATAAATAGACTTTCTAAAATATGAAGGACGGTTGGTTCTTCTAGCATCATGTGAATGATATATTCCGGCAATTTAAAACCAAGATATGAAGGCCACAGGGTTAACCACTTTGTCATTAACTTTCTTTGCAATAGTTATTTAAATTGAATTTCTGTTTCTTTTTTACAAACTTTTCAAAAACAAACTTCAGATCTTGACACCAAACTTTCAAAACACAATGTCTTTTCTTGTTTTCACTTTACATGATTCTTGTGGTGGTAAAACAAACAAAACAATATTTTCCTTGATAATTCAGTTCGCTTAATAGTTAATTGTTTTGTGTGAATCGTACAACAAAATAATGGTTTTCATCAGTCCTGACATAATTTAAAAAGTTGTCACTTAAATATTTTCTACATAAATTTGTCACTAGCTGAAATTTCCGAATAAATGTACTATCTTCTTCTTCATTAAATCCTTCAACAACTACAAAATAAGGCGGAAGTTTCCTAACTCTATAACAGTTAAAATGTTATCATTTTCAGTTATTTCAAACTCAAATTTTTTTCTCTCCATATTTAAAGGATGTTTGACAGTACCATGACACTTAAATACAATAAAGTTCATTTGTTCCTTATAATTTGAGATTTTCTGTTTGATGGTGCAAAAAGTCTTTCAGATTGGCAAAAGTATAGGAGCCATCAAATCTAATTCTGGGTGACGTTTCTGTTATTCACTTAACCACCTATTTGATGCTGTCATTTCATCAAGAGATATGGAATAATCAGATGCATGGTGAGTAATTTCAGCTTGAGGGAAACCGTTGACAATCTTCTCTATCTAGTCATCTTTGTCACCCTATATATACAGATTCGCCAGTGTCTTCTGTCATGTCATAAGCTTCAATTATTTCAAACTTATCGTAATTACAATTGCTCGTACACTGACCTTTTCTTCTTACAATCTGAAATAAAAACAGAATAGTTTTTATAAAGTCTGTAAAAGATTTTCAATACAAGAAATGTGAATATTTGACATTTAAGCAACACCTTCTTTGCCTTTTTTTCAGTGAGATACATGTATTTTCATTATGCATATGTGTCATACACCTACTTCTGAGAAAAGATTAGTTACTGATAAAACTATGACTTCATATTAAGTGTCACTGTGCCTTTGGCCTATTGACCTCAAAACTAAAAGAGTGTCGCTGTGTCATTGATCTTTGACCTAATAATGATCACAAAACCAAAATATTTAATCTACTGGCCATGGACAATGTCCTTTGCAAGTAACATAAACCACCATTCATTATTTATTGTCCAGTTACAGTTAGAAAAGATTATACAATAATCCTCACTGTGACCTTTGGCCTAATGACCCCAAAAACAATGAATTAAAACTTACGTAATATGTTGGCCATATTCATTATTTAAAAGTCAGTTAAGAAATCATTTTTACATGTGACTAGTAAATATACGTCAGAGAGAACCATCAAGGTATTACCAAATTATTTGCTGACATTGTATTATTAAAGTTTTAATCAATATAAGAAATGGCTATACTCACTTGTCTGCTATCATTGGCTTCTTTTTTTATCAAAATAATTTAATAGTAAAAATGTTCCGTCACTATGATATGCCAGTGTGTTCTCAGGCATAGGATGTGAATGTTGCAATTAAAAATATATAAAAGGCAAAGAGGAATCCACAACGTCAAATAACAATTTTAAGTCAAAACAACCAAGCATAATGAAACATGATTTAAAATTCACCCATCCTGAGTAACAAACAATTCTGTAAGTAGTGTTGGCCAATGCATTTACATATCATGACCTAAAGAGAGGGACTCTGTACAAGGCATCATACAAAAATAAAACATAAGGAAATAGGAAAAAAACAAAAGCATTGCTATAACTTTAGGTAATGTGAGCAACCTGTATGTAAGATAAAAGTAAAATGAAAACAAGCGCAAAGCAGAGCATTAAGCTATAAGTTGTGCTGCAGTTATTGGACAGTGACCTTAGAGGAGTGTAAAGTTCCTTCTAAATATATGCAGTAGATTGTAATTGTAGATACAGAATGCTTTCACTAACTAAAATTAGGAATTTTCTGATTTTTTTTTTAGTTTAACTTCACAAAGGGGTATATTTCAGTAACAACCTATATTAAAAGATAATGGATCTATAAAAATGTGTGGAAACCTTCAAACTGAGAAATACAGCCTAAACAAAGTGCAATGCAACTGCTGATCCCAAGCTGAGTAGGGATATCCCAGCTATTCTTTAAATGTTCAAGCTACAATATACCATGTTTTAAAGGTAAAATGAATCTTTTTTTCCTCAATATAAATAAAACTCTTTTTTTTCCTCAATATAAATAAAACTTTCTTTAATATTTACTTTGTCTCTAAGGTCTTATTTGCATGCAATGAACTATGATATTGGTAAACTAAAAGGCAGTCATACAACGATACACACCCCTTCTGTTATGTGAAATGAAATATCAATCAATTGCAAAAATAATGGAAACATCAATCATTATCCATTTCAATTTTTCATCCTTTTCCTAACTCTCCACAGAAATATTCATATGCTCTAAACAGTAATTTTGTGAAGAAAGCTTCAAAATTTACCTATCAGCAGCTGCTCTTTGCTCATTTATCATATCAGCTTCCAGTCTCATATCCCTCAATATATTGTATAATTTGTTTATTCCCATTGGTTGTGTTTTAAACCAGGATTGTAGAAGGTTTGGTGCACTATTAGCCACGGACAGGAAGAATGGACTGTTGTCCTCTAGCATTCCTGGTGGCCTTTTGTCTAAGTACAGCTTGTAGAGATGGACTGGGTCCCTTGGTGGATCATTCATTGAATAAACCCTTGCTTGACATAATCTGAAATATCATATATCATGATTTAAATTCTGAAATATTTTTTTAACTTTATTTTAATGTTTTATCAGTTGGCTTTTTAAGCTTCATTTACACATATTTTCAAGTACAATATAATACCTGGGTAGAACAACAATGTACATGAACACTTATATAATGATTTTTTTATTACATTATGTATTACTTTCTTTCATAACATATTTGAATGTCCAGGTCATGAAGTGGGTTTTGAACTCAATACTTTTACATGTATCTATAAAATAGAATAAAATAGCTAATCAAAAACTATATCAAATCAGCCCAAAGACTTTTTTTTCAAATATCATTTTCAAATATTTTCCCAAAAAATCTCTCACCGAAAAATATTTTCCCAAATCTCTCACTGAAAAAATATTTTCCCAAATCTCTCACCAAAAAATATTTTCCCATAACTCTCATCAAATAATATTTCCCAAATCTCTCAACAATATTCTTTTTATATGCTATATCTTATGAATATCATATTAACATTTCACAATTTTGTGCCATGTACCTGTCCTTTCTCAGAAACTAAGTGAAACAAGAGCTTTGCAGTAGGACAGCATGCTCTACTATTGTCAGTGCTTAATAATAAAACCTGGATAATGTTCAAAAAGGGCCATAATTCACTCTCAAAAACCAAGTTAAAAGGTAAAGGGCCTTGAAAAAGTGGGCCCCCCAAATTTGCTCTCAAAAAAAGTGTATAAATTAAATTCCAAAACCAAAAATTTTTTAAAAAAAAAAACTTTCCCAAACAAAACTTAACCAAAGTATGATACTGACACACGCCGATGCTTAAACAATAGCTGTCCCTATTCTTCCATTAGTCACAAGCTCAAAATATAATGTTTACATATGACTTGTACATGATAAAGTTTTATATCTTTACATACCTTGAATCTGTCTTTGTTTTACATTGTTTCTCTGCATCATACAAAAGATATTCACCAAAACTGTCTTCTTTCACCTGTACGTCACCCCACCTCATGTTATAAGCTTCCTGTCCCGTCCTTATCCCAAAATGTACGGTAACCATCACCCACAATGTATTGATTAGAGCTTTAGGATTGCCATCCCCAAGAATTCCACATTCATAAAACTTTTCTATCAAATCATCATCAACTTGATCAGCAGCTTTTGTTTTACAACCTCCTTTCCCTAGCATCTTTAACTGCTTCTGTTTTGTCTTTAACACTTCCCTTGCTCTTTTGAATTCAGCACTTGTAATAATCGACCAATGGTAATCATTCAATCGGAGGTATCTATGGATTGATCCAATAATACATCGCAGAGACGTTGGTTCATATTCAGTGCCGTTCTTCTTCGTCACTGACAAAATAAACTCGCACAAAAGTTGGTTCAACTGATATGGTGGGATCATCTCCAGAGATCTGAATTCTTCCTTAGTTTCGCAAAATGATTTAAACAAACTGGTATCACCTGTAGTCTTTCTAAGCGTGTTTTTATTCTGATGGCTCAGGTCTATGAAGTTTTCAATATCTTCGCTAGAAACACTTTTGAATATTCTTTGACCAGATACAGATGTGCATTGCATCAGTGCAGAGGAATAATGGACCTGCGATAGGACATTTAACAATATCTCTATTTGGAAAATAATATTCATCATCAAATTACAATATCAGTTTTAAAAGCAAGAGGACTGAAATGGCCCTACCATTGGCTCACCTGAGATCAAATGCCTGGAAAAAGGTCAAAATTCAATTTAAAGGAAGTAATTGGGGCCAGGCCATTTCGTATATTTCTAAGCTTCAACAGGAGGTCAAACTACTCTAAACAGACATCAACTACTAAAGGTAGCGTTACATGCTAAATATCTAAGCTCTTTGAAATGTACTTCCATGAAAGATTAAGATGCCGATCAATGTAAACTATGCAGCCTAAATGGTAAGGCTTATCTTGACACTAGTGACATATTGTGAAGGGCAACAAGGGTATTCTACATATTAAATAAGAAAGCTTTGAGTACCAAAAAGATTTTGAAACTTTGTTTCCATTGAAAATTCAGAGTATAAACAAATGTGACCTCTGGGTGGTGCATGATTGTTTGACCTCAGGGCAATGATTCATAAAACTTAAGAAGAGGTTCACTAAGCATTATGCTACTTGCCAAATATGTAAGCTGGAGGGCATAAGCTTTTAGAGAAGACTAAGAATTTAAATACCTCTTCCTATATAAGTCTATAAAGTTATGTAAACCGCAAGGGCTGGGCAACTTTTAAACTTGGAGACTTATATATAGAACATTTGTAAAGGACCACAGGATAATGTGATGTGACAAATATCGAAGCTCTGAGCTGAACAGTTTCTGAGGTTTCATTTTTTAGAGTGTTTTTTTTAGTTACTTTGATCTACTTATGCATCAGAATGGAACTAGTTAATATCTAACTTTTTTAACCATTTCAGTAAAAGTAATGTTTGGTCAGGCTCTATGGTTCAGTGAGGAGGAAATGTTGTTTGAAGAAACTGCAGATAATGGCAGACATCATGTTTCGACAAAAAGCTCACCTTCTAGCACTTTGTGCCCAGGTGAGCTTAAATATAAATTTATATTGACTTGTAAATCTTTATAATTTTTATCATCTTAACATGTATATATCAGAAACAATCAACAATCATTTACGATTCCAACTACCGTGCCGCAAATGGAGCACCACATATAGAATAATTTTTTCCCTTGCATATCTTTGCATTTTAGATAAACAAGAAACATTTTGACATATTTAGGAGCAATAGTTTATAATATTTTAATTCCAAACAAGAAACATGCCATGAAACCAGGTTTTCAATTATCACCATTGTAGATAAATATGTTGTATTTGAAATACAAATACAAGCAACAAACAATGTAACTATGTGCAATGTAAAACATGAATAATGTAGGAGGAATTGCGCACAGAAGAAGTGTTCACTATATATATTCTGTATAAGGAAAAAAAAACAAAGGGCCATAATTAGGTAAAAAATTATCCAATCACAAAACCCCGACAATATGTGCCAGGGCACTTGATGACAAAGCTTCTGTGAAAGTTTGGTCAAAATCCGTTGAGAAATGTAGGAGGAGTTGCGCACAGAAGAAATTGTTTTAGCCCGCCCGCCCGCCGACATACCTCAATCTAATAACCAGTTTTTTCCTTCGGAAAACCTGGTTAAAAACTGAAAATTAAACAATTTAAAAGGAAACAGCAACACACGCCTTTAAAAAACCCTAACATATAAAATAAAGAAACCACCTTACCGTAAAAACTGTGATATCATGATGTGAAACTCTATCGCCAAAAATGCTGCAATTCCATTATAAAATAGCCAATGGCACCAACGTTGGTGCTCCATATGCGCAATCAGCAGTGGTTTAATTCTTACCTTTTTTTATTATTTATACTTAACTGCTTCTACATAAGACAAAGTGGCCCAAATCATTATCATTATGAGAAATTACCCTACTTTCCATATTATGGTGAAAAATAAAACTATGACTACAAATAACTGTAATTTTTGATAAGCATATCAAACTGAACTTTCATCAATTCAATTATATAAATAAATTCTAAAAGCTAGGAGTGAAACGATTACTCTCGATTTGATTCTTTGTCATCATAAAGAAAATTTCACAAATAATATTCTTTTTCCTAATCATAAGTAAACTAAAGTTTTCTTAAGGAACCATACCAGTACTCAACAGGAGAAACCCTTCAATTTTGCATAGTTGTGTGTGTCCTAAGTTTATTAAAGGTCCATCTGCCCTTTCAGGCGCTTAGAGTACGGACCTTTTGCACGGTTGCAGCAGACCTCAACCTTTTTACCACAGGAGTATTCATAATCCACTGTGAGTCACTTCAAAATGACTTGCAGTGACTAAATGTGGTAATTATTTTCTTCACAGTTTTTTCAATGCTGCATGTTCACTTTTAAATTACAAGTAATTTGTATTTTACAGAATGTAGGTAATATGTTCCAAAAGAATTTAATATACTTAAATGCCCATTGTCTGTACAAATCAACGAATATATGTGAATGAAACTATGAATAAACTGATAATAACAGCAAATCATAACCCTTTATAAACACATAGTCTTGCATTTATATGGCTGAAACTGGACTACATGGGGCCTCCGTAGCCGAGTGGTTAAGGTCGTTGACTTCAAACCACTTGCCCCTCACCGCTGTGGGTTCGAATCCCGACAGGGACTTTCGATTCTTACATGTGAGGAAGCTATCCAGCTAGCTTACGGAACGTCGGTGGTTCTACTCAGGTGCCCGTTCGTGCCTGAAATAATGCACGGAAGGGCACCTGAGGTCTTCCTCCACCAGTAAACCTGGAACGTCGCGATATGACCTTTACTGTGTCGATGTGACGTAAAACCCAATCAAACAAACTGGACTACATTGTGACGCAATCCAAGTATGCAGCTTTGATAATGATAAAAAACCTTACGCTGACAGAAAGAATATGTTTGTTTGATGTGAAATATTGTTTTCTCTGCAGAAAGTTTAGAAATTACTACTGTGTGAAAATTATATTTTTGTTAGTGTATACAAATTTATTTTAGTTTGATTGTGTTGGAAGCTTTAAGCTTCTTATCCATTCCTGAAACCAACCAGTACTAGGCAATGAATGTAGCTTCTTGCTCAAGAAAACGTTACGGCTTGCCCATATATCAAATATATAATTTTCTTATAATTATGATGTCTGTACAGAGGTATAATCATATTAGTATGCTTTTGTTATCCTTATTTGTTGCTCATTTTGTTTTACAGATACCAACACACTTATACCATTGTTTATTCAGGCATTTTCATACAATTTTTTGTATGTACTTATGAGACAAAACAAGTAAACTGAAGAATGGAAAAAAAATAATTCAAACAAAAAATGCTCTTCTTTAAAAGATATATAATTTATGTTTACTTCAGGTTGAATTTGATGAAAGCTTTTGAGTTTATTTGAACGGCTCAATGGTCCACTTCCTCATGAGATGAGGAAACATGGTCACTTATAATTCTTGTATGACCCACAATCAAAAGTTTGTGAGACAGGCTAATTCAGCACAAAGCCACCGAGTTCTAGCATATAAACTCACATCTCTAGTATTCAGGGGCCATAGTAGCCATGAAGTAATCCCAAGATTATTTGTATCAAGATTTTTGTCAAAACAAAAAATTATAAGTTTTTTTTTAGTTTTTTTTTTTTTAGCTCACTTCTACTATCAAGAGATCAAAATTGAAGATAAACAATAATATTGATATAATGTATTCAGAGGAATAAAATGTTACAGAGGCCACTTGATAATATATGAGCAACCTGAAAATTTAAATTAAACTACCGTAAGATTATGTTTCACACCGAATTTGAAGTTAATCTGACGTATAGTTTGTTGTGAATTTGAAGCTCCCACTTCCCCTTCTATACTAGCAGTGTTCAATCTAGAACAAATTCCCAGGGGGCCCTTCGGGCCCATAAACTTTTCAAAAGGGGGTCATTTGAGAAAAAAGGGGGTCCCACACTTAAAAGAACATCAAATTCAAATAAGGTATTGTATCTTTTAAGTTACTTGTTCACATACCATATATAGACCAAAAACGGTTGCAAAATTCAAAAACAATCAACTCACTAAAAAAATGATATTATTTTGACCTTTTTTGAGAGTTCTGTTAGCGTTGATACAGGCTCAATTTTAAGAACTGATTGGTAAAGAAACAATGACATAATGTTCAAAGAATCTTATGAATCTTATTTTAATGTTACCAGGGATATTTGATAATAATGTTCAGTTTTTTAATCAGCGCCCGATATATAAAAGAAATTCATATTTTGCAATTAGCTTTGTTGATGAAGAATATAAACTTACAATAGTCGCTAAAATATTTACCCTTCTCAATATATCCAAGCGAAAAACAAAGTGTCAACAGGTGCTAAGACAATGTATATTGACATACCGGTACCTTTGATCTTTTGTCAGGGCAGCAGTTCTTACGTCACGCTTAAGATGTCTGTATTGATTAATTATATGCACAATGTTTTTGTGCCGACCAGCCAAAGACCAATCAAAGTTTATTTACTCAATTGTCAGACACTCTCTAGCCAATTGTGTTTGATTAGCTCCATCTTTAAGACTTTTTTAATTGGATGAAGGCGTGTTCGTAATAATTTATGCACACTTCTCTATAATTGACTCACACTTTTCACAAATATATAGTTTTTTTCCTCCCGAAAGTTATGACATATTTATTTGTTTTGACCGTGAAAAAACTATAACTACACGCACATATTGGATTATCTGTGACGATTTGTTTTGTTTATAAAAACTGTGACTCAAAAGTAAGTAATAGTTACGGTACGAAGAACAAGTCTACATAGTATTTACAGACCCCGGCCGAGAAAACGTAGCGAAGGGTTACCGAGTGCGGTACTTACCAACATGCTCTTGTTTTTCTATACAAACTTCAGTTTTGAATTCAGTATTTATTAATATTATTCACAAGAACCCTTTTTTATGTACTTAATCAGGTACAAGAATGCATTCTAATGTCATTTAGGATATTTTCTATGAGTGCGCC